ACATCATGGTTTGCCTCATGTTATTATCTTTCTAGTATCCTTGAGGCAAGCTTTCTGTCACATCAGTTTCACATGTGCAGACACCATTAAGAGCAGACCATGTTTGTCCTCTCTCAGTATCCTGTATATACATTGTTTGTGGGTCAGTCTTCCCGTACCTTAACCAAAATTACAATTTATTTAATTAAAAGCTTGGTTCCTATGGATTCAGTAATGAACACATTACTGAATTCAAGTCAAAAATACCTTTTCTGATAAGCTATCATGCTGGCTGTCAGAGATGTAACTTTAATTGAATTGAATTACCCTTGAGAGTAAAACCTCCCATACCTTTACCCAGAGAAGCAAAATGATGTGCCCTTTCTCCCTAGAATAGCCTCAGGATGGCACTGTGGAGGACTAGTGTATTGGGTGACGAACTTTCATAGGCCCAGAGAGTTTTGGGGAAGGATGCAATCTTAAATGGATTGTAGTCTCATTAACTTCATTTGACAGACACATAGCTATGTGCACACGGAGTATCTGTCATGAGGATTTTCTGCTTTACTCTCAGAAGTGGAACTTGTTTTGATGACTAACGTTGGGTTGGCCTCTACATTTCCAGCTCTTAGTTAAGCACTTTTATAGGGGTCAACCCTTCGAGCTCATTTAATCCCTTTGCCTCTGATTCCTCTACCTAACCCTGAATTTAAACCACTTTAAGTTAGGTTCTTTTATTTTTACAAATGTTTACCTGAGGATCCACAAAGACTAAGTTACTTGAGATCAAATCCACCTGACATGCATGAGGCTTGGATGAGCAAAATCTTCCCAACAACTTCATCTACACAGAGACTTGGATCTTTGTACTTAGCTCGCTCTCATCAATGGCTTTCCAATTCAAGATCTACGGTAATCCCATGATACTGCTGTAAACTTAAGACCAAGTAGCTTGCCTTTTGAAGAGTTGCCCTTTGTCCCTGTTACTAAGTGAAATAAGATAACACAGCTTGTGAAATAAATTTTGGACTAATGAGAAGATACTTGGTGAATAGAAATCTGTCTTGATACCTCTTAAATTATGTCTCTAAAACCCAAATGTGCATATCCTCATCTATGACTAAGAATGACCTTTATAGAGAATATCAGCTTCTTTGCTCTCTGCCCTGGAGCTATTGACAGCCATTTCAAAAGAGAAGGAAAAAGAAAAAGCACTGTGCCAGCTATGACGTGGAAGTGAGTCACAGGAAGATGAAGAATGAATCTGCTTGCAAATGACCATTATATTTAGAATAATCTACCTTCCATCATAGAGAGTGTGTGGACAGAAATGTTATTACAAAATCACATTCTTTAATGTACTATCAGAATTTTGCAAGTGAGAGCATTTTAACAAGATTATAAGAGAAGACTATATCAGAGATGAAGTGATATTTTAAATGTGATTGAGCATCATGCAACTGGCTTTCATGTTGGGAATTTTCTGCATATTACACATAAGTATATATCCATTTAGGGGAAGTCATTTGTATTTCTCATTGTTCCCTGTAGTCTTTATTTTGTTTTAAGTTTATCTTAAGTAATTATGATTATTCTTTAAATTCACTTGGGATATATTTAGAAAAAGAAATCTTCTGTCCTATGACATCATCGACTTGAGAGATTTTATAAGCACTGCTAACTAGAGATGATTGGTGATGTTGAAATATTAATCATATTATCCAAAGTGACAAGTTTATTCAGGCAGGCTGAATATTTCAAGAATGACTAAGATCTGTGTATTTGTTGTAAGATAATATAACTGAATAATTTGATCCTTAATGGACACTGCAGCCAGGGAAAACATTTCTTTTAAATTCTGGAACAGTCTTCATAGTTGGATGTTTTCCTTATTTATGATAGGATACCAACATGCATTAATTAAATCATCCTATTATCTCAGTATGCTCATGATGTTTGCATAATTAATAAAATGATAAAAACTGAAAAATATCAAGTGGATTAGATTAACCAGATGCTATGTAAAGTCATTATTCATGACAACATCTAACTTATTTGTCAAAATATTCTTGCTTCTTTTTGAGTTTTGAAAATTGATTCATTTTCAAAATATCTTTCATTAGTAGAACACACTATATACATTTCTATTTTAATGATTTCTTTTTTAATTTCTAAAAATTAGCTTGGTTTTTATTTTATGGGTATTTTGGCTGCACGGATGTCTGTGCACCCTGTGTGGTGCTTACAGAGGCAGGGAAGGGCACTGGATTCTCTGCATAACAGAAGGTTGTGATCCTCCATGTGTGTGCTAGGACTTGAACTCTGATCCTCTGCAAGAACAAGCACTGCTCTCAACTTCTGAGCCATCTCTTTGGCCCCAAAAACTTCTTACAATGTCTAAATTAGTTTTAAAAGCCCAGACAGCACAAACAGTCCTTTATTTAAAGGCATTTGAGAACACTGGTGAGGTGGGGCCAGGACCATCATCAATTGGATATAGGCTGACTCTCTTTAGACTTGCCTCTGAATTCAGAGAGCCCAGGAGGGAGGCTAGAATGGAGGCTAGAAACAAGCAGCGTCAGTGACAGCATGTGTTGATCATTCATTCATTCATTCATCCATCCATTCATTCATTCATTCATTCAAGAGGCAATGGGGTCCTACACTCTGTTAAGCGTAGAAGATCCATTCTTGAAGAAGGCAGAAAAAAAAAACCCAGTATTTTAAATTAGCCAGTAATTATTACTAGTTGTTTTAGCTTTTAACAAGTACAAATATTTAATGTTTTCTTCATATTCTACACTGTGGTGGGCAATAGATATGGCTAGAAAAAACAGATATGATGCTTCCTCTCATAAACTTTGAGTCTGTGCATTCTGAATCTGAAGAAGGCCTTTCTCTCATAGAGTTCAGAATGGAATGAAGCAGAAATAATAAAGTATAAACAACTTTATAGAAATTTTTTCTACACCATACCCAATAATGATTAGATACCACATTCATTTACATTGTTGCATTTTTCCTTGTTCCTCTACATGATGCTGTGTGATTCCATTTACACACACACACACACACACACACACACACACACTGACAGGGGCTGAAGGCGGGGCGCTGGTAATTCTAGGTCAGGGAGTAGGAAACCTCAGCCATGCTTCCCGACAGCCTCCTGCATTTTGTTGCAGCAGTAGAAAATTGACTGTCTTGGCAATGTTTCTTAGAGGGCTTCGTGCAGAAAAAGGTCATGGTTAGACTAGTCTTATGGTAGATTTTACTAACAGCTTTAATTAGAATGGAATAGGTTAGTGTTTGTTTTTTTTTTCTAATTTAAATTATAGTTAAAGGCACAGAAAAATTGACCAAAAATTATCTTTCAAGAAAAAATAGCCTAAACCTGTGCCTCTTGGATAATTAGAAATTAGAGTAGGCTTTCTGAAGGCTCATAAATTGGGCTTCAGAAAAACAACTAGAAATTCTGAGAAGAAAAAAAAAAAAACCCAGTATTTTAAATTAGCCAGTAATTATTACTAGTTGTTTTAGCTTTTAACAAGTACAAATATTTAATGTTTTCTTCATATTCTACACTGTGGTGGGCAATAGATATGGCTAGAAAAAACAGATATGATGCTTCCTCTCATAAACTTTGAGTCTGTGCATTCTGAATCTGGAGGTGACTTTTTGTTCAGTGCGAGGCATTGAAGGTAGGGCCTGATTCATGTTGGGTAAGTATTCCATGACCGATCTTTATTGACCCCCCCTCCTTGTATCATGAGGCCAGCCTGAGGAAGTTGTGGAGGCTGCTGGCTCTGAACTCATTCTGTACCACAAGTAGTTCATGAATACACAATCTTTCTGCCTGTCTGCTAATTTATCCAAGATTCCAGGCCTGTGTCACCAAGCCCAGCTAAAATGTACATACCTTCAATGAATTTGTGCTAGACTATGCGAACTTTGTGCTTTGCAATGGCCTGCTTGTCTTCCTTTTCCAATTCTAAAATCCTTAGCTACTCGAGTCACTTATGCCCCATCTCTCTGTCTGCATTGCCTCATTCCCTCAGGGACATTGTTCCCATCTGTCTTTGGAGAAAGCCCAGCATGGACAACAAGAACCTCAGTGCCAGCAGCTAGCAGCCCAGTTTCTCTTGCTCTGGCTCCAGTACTGAGTCTTGCTGACTGTGGTTTTTCACTTGTGCTTCGGTAGTTAGTACCTACCTGAACCTGATGCAACGGTCCCTCCTGCCCACCCTACACCAACATCAGTCTTTCTTTCTTGGCTCTCTGCCGGGCTGTTGTATCCCACCTCAATACCACAGGAATGACTGGTGGCTTTGCCAGCAATTGCAGTGCAAATTGCTGTCTGTCAGATACTAGCCTTGTCCTTAGGCCTGGCTCACATCTCTTATTTGTTACTTGGCCTTTCTGCTGCAAACACATTTTAATTTTGGTTCTACCTTCTGTGCTTATAGGTCAGCAGGTCTGACAGAAGTAATAGTTATGGATCCAAACTATTGACAGAGGCTATCTAATAATTTTTATTGCACACGCATGTGTTGTTGATGTACACATGGTGTGCCCCTTTGTAGTAGCAGGATATTGACATTGGGAGTTTTCTCAATAGCCCTCCATTTTACATAGCAAGGTTGGTTTTTCACTTGAATCCAGAGATCACCAATTTGGCCAGTTTAATTATCTAGCTTGCTCTGGATTTCCTGTGTCTAGTCTTACAGACAGATCACCATGTGTGGTGATTTCTTGCTTGAACAAATAAAGCCTGTCTGAAGGTCAGAGAATGGAGCTTGCCACTGCCTAACCATAGAGGTCTGGAGGTCTGTACAGACAGACAGGAAGTGAGGTAGTTGGGCGGAAACAAGACATGAGCCCGGATTTGCTCTCTTGTCTGCTGAGACCCTAAAGAGGTAAGGTGTGGCAGTGGTTTGCTGCTTCTCTCTGATCTCTCAGCATTTTCCTCTATATATGACTCCAGGTTTTTATTACTTAGACCAATTAAGAACTCCTTTTACATACTTACCTGGGAGATACCATGTTCACGAAGGTGGTTTTCCCAGGGAGAGGCTTATCCATCATTGCACTGTGCTGTGCTGCCTCTTCGATTTCCCCAAATGAGGGAAACTCGACTGCATAATTTGTGGTAGTGGGGGACTGCGTTAGAGCTCTCTGGGGGGTGGTGGGGAGAACTCCTTTTACAGCCATGTCCACTTGAGATTTATGTAGGTGCTAAGGTGTGAATGCCTTTTCTCATGCTTGCCTGGCACACACCTTATGCAATAAGCCTCTCACCAGCCTCATGATACTTAATTTTTTTGTAGTCAAAGTTTTCTTAATTTCAAATACTTAAACAAAAATGTAAGCACTGGGCTGGAAACACAGCTCAGTGAATAAAGTCCTTGCTATATACTCATGAAGACTATGTTTAGCCTGGCAGCACCCATGTAAAAGCTGGGTGTTGGTGGGGATCAGACATGTGTATCCCAGGATCATGCTAGCCAGCCCATCTAGTTGAAACAAGAGCTCAAAGGTAAAGTGGAAAGTGACAGAGGAAGACTTTAACTTCGACCTCTAGTCTCCACACACTCGTGTGTCCATAAGGGCACACACACACGCACACACACACACACACACACACACACACACGCACACACACACACACACACGCACACACACACACACACACGCACACACACACACACACACGCACACACACACACACACACGCACACACACACACACACACGCACACACACACACACACACGCACACACACACACACACACGCACACACACACACACACACGCACACACACACACACACACGCACACACACACACACACACGCACACACACACACACACACGCACACACACACACACACACGCACACACACACACACACACGCACACACACACACACACACGCACACACACACACACACACACACACACACACCCCTACCTCTCTGATGCACCTACACATCTCCCCAAATGTATAAAGATAATTTGAACACTTAGATTATTGGGTTGAGAACTTGAAATAGTGGTTTCTGTAATTCACAGTTGCTAAGCTTTAAAAATGCTAAACAACAGCATGTTCACATGAAAATTATGTTAAACTTAAATAAATCCAGCAGTGATTCAGTGTCAATACATACAACCTAAATTCTATAAAGTTAGTCAATTAATTCTGTCAACAAACACTTATTGCATAACCAATATGTAGGAGACACTGCACAATAAAGTGGAGAAAGTGGTTTCTGTTGGTGAGAACTTGTGTAGCATTTCACAGGATCATAGAGGCCAACTATGCTCCATTTATTTACATATTTCTAAAGGCTTTCAGGGCTGATTTGTATCTATCATTAACAGTGTATACACGTGCATATAACTTTTCAAACATTTTAAGCCTCTCTAAACCATGACTTTCATATTTTGCTCTAGCCTGGTCCACAATACCACTTCCTTTCTGCCAATATAATTATTTAGTCCTTGGCCTCAACATTTCTACCTGTGATCGATCAATCCATAGCTGCATTTATACACTGTTAACTTTATATAGTGCCAATGGGCATGAGAGATGTTTGTAAGTTTGAGAGTCTAAGAAAGGGGAAATCTCTTTTGGGGGAACTGGACAGGTGGTGCCACTGAACATGAGAAGAATAGACAAGACAATGAGATTCTGGATTCCATGGGACAAGAAGCAATGTGGTCTGGACCTCGATGAATAGAAACAATGACAGATGAGGACAGGGAAGTTTCTCCAGCCAGAGGAGAAAGCTAGGAATGGCAGTGGATCAGGGAGATGGAATGACAAGTCTTAGGGTGTGGCACACTAGGGAGACTTTACATTGGCTGTTGTATCATAGCTGTGGGGAAAGGGTTCATTTGCTCGAGTTTTCAGAGGTTTCAGTCCCTATTGCTTCTGGCCTGTGGTCAAACTGAAGTGTTCACTCAGTTCTGGTATTTAGGAAACAGAAAGACACGCAGGTCAATGACAAGATCCCATTTTCTCAAAATAGGCCCCACTTCTTAGTTTACACTCATCAAAGTATTCACACATGGATGCACTTAGCACCCTCATGGTGAAATCTCTCAAAACTGTTACCACCTGCAGACCTAGCCATCAACACACAAGCCTTTTTGAAGGACACATTTCCACTCTAAGACCCTCTGGAAGTCTTTTGGAAAATTTGAGTTGATCAAAAAAAGCCATCTACATGAGGACCTATAAACCATGCAAGCATTTTATTTATCACACAGAGACAGTGTGAGGTTGACATTGCTGGTGGTGTGGAAAAATGAATCAATTGGTGATAGATGCAGTTTGGGTTTAATAGAAGGGTTTAATTCCTTCTTTATACATGAATGTATTCAAACCCCATGTCCACCTCAGCCTTCATTGTGAACAAAATGGGGAAAAGGTGTCAAGGAATGATATCAGCAAAATTTTATTAAATTATGTTCAGGCATTAAAGTCCCATCAGTGATTTCCATTTTTGGTATACCAGATATGTTTTTTTTTATCCTCTTTGTAAAAAAACTAGCTGCCTTCTCCATTTTGTCTCCACAATTCTTCAGTGTCTGATGACAATATTTCACATGAGAAAGAATAATGCATGATGAGACATTCTCATAAAGTTCTTCAATATTTTCTAACCAACCTCTTTAATATCAGAGACTTTATTATACAACGATACTCTTCCTGCTTGAGGAACAGGTAATTTCTTAACCATATTCGAGAAGCAGGGCTGAATCTATTGGATTTTTTTGGAGTCTGACATGTCTCTTGCAGCTCCATAAGGTCAAATGTTATTGGCTTGATTTGTGTTGCTCAGATGTTAGAGGGTAGTATAAAAACTGGTAATAATTTCATTGAAACTTATGACAAAGAGGAAAGGAAAAGGGGAATTGCCTATTAAGGTTTGAAGAACATCTTTGTTTATGGTCACTCATCTTTTAAAAGGTTATTTCATTTTATTTTTAAAGTTAGAGAACATTAACCACCTTTATTTCCTTTAAAATAATGAGATTAGGGCTTTGAAGGAAATAATGTTAATATTTCTACATGTACTAAAGTAAAAACTTTCACTTTCACTGGACAAAGGTGAAGGAAACAAATCATTATTGGCCAGCACCCTACCCTTTGTGATGTGGTGGTGACTGATAAACCACTGTCCAGTGATTAGAACATTATTTGAATCATTGCTGCTCTCCCACGTTCCCAAATGACCAAGGTCAAATGTTTGTGCAAGCATCCAACAAGAGCCACATTCTCACATTAGAATATTAATATGTAAAACCCACCAGAGAGGACAAGAGACACTGAAATGGCTTGGTCTGGGAAGAAAATTAAATATGTGAAATCACTTCTGGGAACAGAACAGGAAAAAAAAAAGCAATAACCAAAAGACAGGCTTTCTGAATAGATATCAGAAGAAACAAATCTCCTTTCCAAATTAATACAACCAGGCAGTTTAAACATTGTAGTCTCTTTGGAGATATGGTAAAGTAAGTTGAGCAGCAACTGTGCGTAAGATATTCTCTTGAATATCCTAATTGGTAGTAGGGGAGAAGAAAATAACTACAATGTTAAGGTTAGTCACATGAACTCCTTTTATAGGAATACTGTAGGGCAAAGATTTGTGCAGCTGCCCAACTCCAAGGCTAGTTAATGAACTGGAGCTTATTTCAGGGTGTCTGTTTTGGTGGAAAAAGAGATTTTTGTTAAGGGCTAAGGACTAGACCACATTCCTCATCATTTTCTAAAGCATCACTCTTGTAAGATGGATAGGAAAATTTAAGAGTGAGGAAAATTGTGACAAGACACATCTTATATTCCTCTCTATTCAAGCTTCATCATAACTCACAATTTCCTTCCAGTTCTCCCAGGAGTGATTTATACATAGTAGATGTCCATCTTCTCTTGTTTAAAGAGTGAATCTTAAGCTGGGCGTTGGTGGTGCACACCTTTAATCACAGCACTTGGGAAGTA